CACCAACACCACCAACACCACCAACCCCACCAACCACCAACCAACAACCACCAACAACCACCAACAACAACCACCAACAACAACCACCAACAACCACCAACCACCAACAATCACCACCAATCACCAACAACAACCACCAAGAATCACCAAGAATCACCAAGAACCACCAAGAATCACCAAGAATCAACAAGAATCACCAACAATCACCAAGAATCACCAACAATCACCAAGAATCACCAAGAATCACCAGCACCACCAGCACCACCACCAACACCTGCACCACCACCACCACCACCACCAACGCCACCACCAACGCCACCACCACCACCAACGCCACCAACGCCACCAGCACCAACACCAACACGTGCACCAACACCAACACCACCGCATTACAGCACCAGCACCAGCACCAGCACCAGCAAGAGCAAGAGCAAGAGCAACAGCAGCAACAAGACCAGGACCGCCAACAATTACAAAAAGACGATCAAGATCAAGAACAACAGCAAGACAATAACAGCAAGAGCAAGTACAAGAGCAGCAGCAAAAGAAAGAGCAAGAGTCAGAGCCAGAGCCACAACTAGAGTGACAACGAAAGAAACGGCAACAGCATTAGCAGCCACAGCAACAGTTCAGGACAGCAGCACCGCTTCGAGCGTAAATTGACAAGGACCGCGCGAGCGTCCTACTTTAAACACACCCTCGGATTCTGCCCAACTCGCGGGCTTTCTCGTCGCGACATGTGCCAGCTGTGTAGACAAGACTTTCTCTGAAGGCCTTTGTCTGAGCCGAGGAGCTGTGGAAGGCCACCAATTCGCTCTGCTCAGCATCGGAGGCTTCGGCAGTCCATGCCCAGGGTTTTTTGGCCTCTGCCCACTTCCCCGAGCTATGGAAGCTCTGCTCCTCAGGCTGGCCCTTCCGGATTCGGCGCGTCGGAACGTTTGAAGGCGCGGGGTCTCCGCCGTCCTGGTTCTGATAACCTGAAGATGACATGGCATCGATGCGCCGTCAGGTTTGGGACATGGTGGGCGGCTTGAGCTGCAGTTGGGCAGTGGAGAATTCGGTGAAGAGGCCATGAAGCGCCGTCCGATGCTGTCTCTTCGCATCTTTGCTGCGACCATGACTTGCAGGTCCTCTGGCAGCTCCTGGAGGGCGGAAAAACTGCATCTGGAGGCCACCTAGAGGAGGCTGGGCCGTCGATTCTTGACTCACGGACTCAGAAGTTCGCGAGCTGATCAAAGATGCTGTTCACTTCATCCAAGGCCTGTGCAAGAAGCGGATGCAAGTACTGGTGCCAACTTTACGATCTGGACTGGCTGGGGCCGAAGAGGGATGCCTCCTGGTTGCGTTGCGCACCCGAGTTTCGGTCATTCGGCTTTGCGGCTTCCTACTTACCCACTTGCATGTAGAGTTTGAGCCAAGGAGCACCTTGCCATAGATCCGGAAATTCCTTTGCAAAAGGGCTATGTGTGGTTCCGCGCGCCTGGACTTCAACTTGAGATCTTGAAAAGCACAACAGGGCTGCTTTGCCACTGTCTGCATCGCCAAACCGCCAAACCAGCAAACCAGCCAAAGCCAACAAAGCAGCTCGGTTCCTGCGGGGTAGCGATGCTTGGGCCCCCAGCGTCCTGGGCCCTGAGGGTGAGGCGTGCCTGGCAGGAAGCATCACTGTGGCAGACACAGGCAAACAGCGCGACTTGAACCTGCAACTCTCGCAGCACTGTAGGTCTGCCCTGAACTCGAATCACGATGCAAACTAGGGCCGCTGTCACTGTTCGACAACCGCTACTTCCTGGTACCAACACAGAAAACACAGTTGTTCCTTGTAGTGCAAAATAGCAGTCGTCCTTGTCTTAGTCGCAGTAGTTCTCGCGGTGGCCGTGCTGACTTACGAAGCAATCCCTTCACTAACCGAATCCTTGTGTTACCCGCATTCACCGAGACTAGGGTGTTCCGGTTGGCGGTTTGCAAGGTTGCAGTTGCTAGTAGCTGCTGTTTGGCATTACAAGTCATGCTACTTACCTTGTGTTTTCGGTAGGCTTGTCGAGCTTGTCCGGCATTATAACCCATGAACAACCCACAGCACAGCATCCGATCTGAAGAGGTGCCGTCCGGTTAACAGAACCTATGCAACTTGACTTCTGCGACAGCTTCTGTTTGTGCCTCCCTTGATCCCGTGTTTGTGTTTGGGCAGACACCTGTCCAACAGCAACACAGGGAGTGTATGTGTTGCTCACTATCGTTCAGCTTGAGATGTTGGTCCGCGTCGATGTGCATGGTTTTGCCTGAACAATGAGCACCGTTGTAACTTGAGGTGCTGGAGAGCTTCTTGGCCATGTTTACGACCCTTTGGAATGCATTCCCAGTATCTCGGAGACTTCTTTGGTTCGGAAGGCAGGATTTGGTATTTCAAGGGAATTCCAGCCAGTTCGATGCGCACGGCATAGAAGCACAAAGGTTCAAGTATCAGCACAGGACACATAATTGTATACATACTGTGTGTGCATACTAATATTAATATGAATATGTATATGTACATGTATATGTATATATGTGTACATGTATCCCAGGTTAGGCCTGGTGTACCGCTTCAGGTTTTACTGAGACCTGATAAAACTTATCAGGTTTCAATACGAAGTCCGCCGGCTGTTTGGTTTATAAAGCGTGTTGTAAGAGCTCATGTATGTGTACGTATGTATGTATGTATGTACGTACATGCGTATGTATGTATGTATTTATGTATGTATGTGTGTGTATGTATGTGTGTGTATGTATGTATGTATTTATGTATGTATGTATGTATGTATGTATGTATGTATGTATGTGCACACACACACCTTCTCAAGGGCTGGTTGCACTCATGGAGGGCTTAATGATGTTGGTGATGATTGTGTTAACGAAAATGAGACGAAGGGTTCCAAGCATGCCAGGCGCAAGGAATGGCATACACAACTATGATCCGTAAAGGGTATGGCTTCTGCCCCGCTATGCCAGATGTTAAGGAATAATATAGCACGAAAATGAAAAGGCAGATGAACAACGATGAAGAAATATCCCCCAGTGCCTACGCCAGGGCCCATCACAGATACATGCAGGTACGTTTTCCTTGGGTGTGGTGGAGCTTCGATGGGCTGAGCTCCCCCGCACCCCCTCCGGCCCCCTGCATGCACATGCCTGCACCAGAAATGGAAGTGTCACCCCTGAGTTCATGAGCGAGAACAGCCCACACCCGCACAAATACGTAAGAACATTCCTACGTTTTATCAGCATGTGTCAGTCGCTTATTCTGTTTTACTATGCTATACTATGCTATGCTATGGCTTATCGAACTTGAACTATGCAACGCCAACCCCAAATCCTCAACCTTAAGCCTCCCTGTTCCTACCTTCGGTCGTCTCGAAGTCACTTTTGCTGAGGAACTGAACTTCCCGGGACTGGGCGCCGGGCTGTAAGGGTGCAGCTCCTGGAGGCAAGGGGCTCTGGCATGCCAGAAGTACTCTAGTATGCTGGAGCTGTTCTTGCGAGAAAGACCATGTTATGATTGGAAGAAAACAGCGGTTTTACTAGAAATGGAAAGGCATAGAGAGGAGATGAAGAAACAGAAACAAATTGAGTTCGATATGAAACTCGAAGCACAAAACGCAAATTTGAAGAAGTTAAGATGCTTGAAGAAGAAAAATTGAGACAAAAGCAAGAAAAAGATGAAAGATAAAAAAGAACGTGAAGAAAAAGAAAGAAAAGCTGAAGCTCTAACGTTAAAGAAAGAAGAAGAAGCTGAAAGACAGCGTCAAGAAGAGTCCGAAAGAGAAGCGAGACTACAGGAGCAAGAGAGACAAAGACAGGAAAGACATGAAAAAAGAAAGCGTAGAGAGCAACAAGAAAAAAGAGAAATGGATGCAGCAAAAGAAAGAAGACGAGAAGAACAAGAACAAAGAATGAAATGGAGTCGCTTCGCATACTGCACCTGACTCTAATATATCACTGGCAGAAGCATGTTTGTTTCAACCAGTTCGATTTCCAGATGGAGATTACCATCTAGACGCCTTCACTCTTCAGTGCCCACAACGTAGGGTCTACGATCCGATATGTTGCTCTTAGACTGTTGGTTGAATACATGGGAGTTGCTTACATGAGTGTCCTTCCAAGTGAGCATGTTGATGTGGGCAGCAGCGTGTAGCATGCACCATGATGTGAAGCGGCCCGTGTATACTTTCCCATGAAGTCTCATGAAGCTCGTCAAGAAGCCCGTAGACACTCACATGAGCAGAGAGCAGACACCCTATGCAGCCATGCCGCCCTTGTGCCCCCAACAGACCTTTGAAGCAGGCTCTGTTTCAGAAGCTGTGGGCACTTAGCTGTAGAACCCCAACCCCCCGCAGTCTGGTAGTTCCTTATTGGAGTCTTATAATATGGTTGATTATAGTATGTTGTGGTTCTCCGCCCTTTCAGGATGGCGTTGTCCCTGCTTGGAACTCAGTGGCCTTTGCCTTCGAACCCGAGCATCGGTGCTAAAACATGGTATATCAGTTCATGTTAAAGTCTATGAGAGTCTATGATATCAAAGCATGTTACAGTCTATGATGGTCTATTTTAGTCCATAAAGGTCTACTATAGTAGGTTATGGCATATGAGGTAAGCCCAAATGTCTCCGACCACTGAACTAGTCTAGAGGAGGGCCTTGTGTAGGTCGAAGCTATGAAGCATTGTAAAACGATAGGGGAAACCCAAGAACGATACCCCCAGCTTAAAGACCCA